TTCCTGTATATAATTCTTACTGTAATAGATAATAGGTCTCTGAAGTAAATGGAGGGGAGATCTCATTCATGTTTATAAATATTTAAAGGGTGAGTGTCACGAGGATGGAGCCAGGCTCTTCTCGGTGACAAACAATGATAGGACAAGGGGTAATGGGCACAAGCTGGAACACAGGAGGTTCCACTTCAATTGGAGAAGACACTTCTTCTCAGTGAGGGTGACAGAGCCCTGGCCCAGGCTGCCCAGAGAGGTTGTGGAGTCTCCTTCTCTGCAGACATTCAAAACCCGCCTGGACGCCTTCCTGTGCAACCTCATCTGGGTGTTCCTGCTCCGGCAGGGGGATTGGACTGGATGAGCTTTGGAGGTCCCTTCCAATCCCTAACATTCTGTGATTCTGTGTTTCTGTGTAAATCCACGTTCCTCCCCTTTGTGAGGCTCTTAACATATCTGGAGTGTCAGCACATGGTCTGACTTTTAGTTACGTTGCTGTCCAAGTAGTTCAATGAATGATCTGTCTGCTGACTGATCCAGCACTTTGAACGTGTGCTGCTAACTCAGGAGTCCAGAAATGCTTTAGCCTTTCAACATGGATCCTGTCTTCATGTTTCTCCGCAGCATTCACCAGATTCAGGCAACATGTCACTAACTCTTTATTCAGCAGTCCCCGCATTTCCCTCTGGAGCTCACTGTTGGTTTCCTTCCCCTTTTCATCCAGTCTGCACGCTTTGTAAGTTCTCAACCAACACTTGTCTCTTACTGTTGCTCCCATCTACTTATTTTGCATCAATCAAGATCAAGATCTTACAACACTGTCTCTCCACCACATAGCCACCAAAATGGATAATGTTCGTGGTGCATTCTGCAAATGGTGTAGGAGCAGGTACAACAAAACTTACTTTATCCTGGCTGTTGAGCTCCTGGTAAGGAATATGTGCAGGCAAATACGTGTGCAGGAGAGCGCAGAAGGCCAGCCCATCACTCCAGCTGCTGCTGAAGTTGGTAATATCAATATTCTGTAAGAGAAAACATGAACCATCCCTGAATAGGGCTACACACACAGATAAAAAAGCCCCAAACTCCAAACAATAGTTTTTATGCAGTCATGAAACAAAAACTCATTAAGTATTAAAGGAACATAGGTTTACATTTTACATTTTCCATTCTCTCCTTTATTACGCCAAATAGGAAGATACCAAGTAGGATGGCAATTTTCAAAGTCCTGCATAAGGGATTATTAAGGAGTTAAATGATTTTCACACCAAGCCCCAAAGAGAGACTCTCTCCAATGCTTTCTGGAAGGTGAGAAATACCACGTGCAGCACGTGCTGCAGTTACAGTTCTCCTGTGCTAGCAAGAGGAAGGACTTTATCTGGTCCCTTCAATTACAGAATGGCAGAAATATGACTTCTCCAGCACCTACAACAGAAGTAATCAGTATTTTAAAATGGTGTTTTGCAATTGATTTCACACTTCCTTGTCTCAGGATGTGTAAGGGATGGATCTGTAGAACAAGGAGGCAGTGTAATCAGTGTATTTGACCGCTGTTATCTTTCTGATATTACACAGCAGATACGTGCTTTAATGAGAACCATGTGATTAAAAATTACAACTTGATTCAGCCCTTTATCAAAAGTGATATCAAACTGATGAAATACTAACACAGTGCTCAAGTCCTAAATAAAGAATGTGTGTACTTTTATGAGGGAGGGAGGCTTAAACTTGGCAACAGCAATGGCTGAATGGGCAGCTTTCCAACAACTGGGCAGATGTGGGCAGATGTGCCCAGTTTGCAGTCATTTCCACAAATGCATGTCTGCATTCTCGTATTCTTTATTAATGCAGCATCTTTCATCTGCACCTCACAGAGTACTTAACAAAAGGCAGATAAAGAATGGGAAGTCTGAGATAGAGAATTTAATAATTCACAAAACAAGCCGTAAGTAGTTGAGGAGAGAACAGAGGTTTCCTGATGCTCACCTACTACCACAGCCACTGACAAATAAATGTGGGAGGGTCACTGGTAACAAGGACAAGAAAGAAGTCTTTACAGAACAGAAACAAATAGAAATCTTTAAGCATCATCTTCACACATTTCCTAACGTGACAACAAGGCTGAGTTTGCTCAAGGAAGCAATGATTCAGGGGTATGGATATATTAATAAACACCCAACAGAAACCCCAGAGCTGAGCTAGAAAAATCTCTGCTGTGTCTGCAGCAACCCTGTAACCACTGCCACCATAAACAGTCTAATACGCTTGGAGTCTCTTCCTTCCCCATGTTGCTAGATGATGGAATTATTCTTTGCTAGTTTTAGCTTTACCAGCTAAAAAAAATCCCCAGTGAACTAAGAGACACTGCTTAGAGAAGTACCAGCTGCTGGAGCATGACAGGCTCCAGGACACGATGGTACTGCACCATCCCTCGCACTACAGCAGCGTGGAGCCACCCTCACATGACTCTTTGCAGCCACATCTTCCTGCGTGCTGAACTCCAACTCAGACTCTGCCACTTCATTTTCTTTATTTAGCTATATTCTGGTTTCTTGCAAGATTCCCCAAAAGACACAGCTTTTACTGTATCTCTCAAACAAAAGCTAATGCGGACACACTAAAATCCAGACAGGAAGTATTTTAGCATATGCTCTTCACTTACGATGCCTCACTGATTAGTTGGTCCAACCTGGACTTTGTCCAGTCAGATGGGATTCCAGATTAGTAGTAAGTGTCCATAACCAAACATGACTCAAATTGAAGCAGTACAAAATATTTCAGTTTTAAATACTCTGGCTGTAATAAAACTACAAATCTAATGGGCTCAGAAAAGCAGGCCCTCAGCAGCAGACATTACCGCACCAGCCACCACATTGTATTTTGCTCTATTAACATTTGTTAATGGAGATTTTAAAAAGTGACGTAGCGGCTGAGTACCATCACAAGAAAAAGTGTTTTAAAAAGCTGTCTTGGCTTTGCCTAATCCATCGAGTCACACCCTGGAAGTTCAACTTTGTGTTACAGAATTGGCTGAAGCCGGATTACTCTGCTTTCTTGATGTTTCAAACAAATTAGTTACTATTTATCAACCCGCAGTTAGTGGGAAAGGAACAACTGCCAATATTACTGAGGCCGATGTATTCTATCAGCAAATGGCCTAAAATATTCTCATTTGATATTGTATGATAGAAATGGACAATTGAGCTTGTCCCCCGCCTCTGCCAAAGGCCATGGAAACAGGAACAAACAAAGCCTTAGTTAAGCAACAGAAGTAGACAAACAGCAAGAAATGTTTGCATGGAAACATCATATCCTACCCTCAATTTCATGATGCTGTTACAAGAGAAAGAGACAGGAGATACCAGCGCAGCATCAGTTCAATAATTTTACTCACCTTTGTAGTTTTAACTATACTTAAAACTCTTCTCCTCCTCCCATCTAACAATACCTACAAATAAGAAATGCTAATGCCTACAATAAAATCGAAACTGGGTTCAAAAATCCTCACATCTCCAACAGCTTTCTCCAGCCACTCATTTGCAGTAATTCTTGGATCCATGTCTTACATACAAGCAAAAGTTCAAGGAAAGGGTTCTGCTGACAGCATTTAAACCACAGATTGGATATACTGCAAAATGGTATGTCATGATCAACAGAGAAATCAAACACAAATCTGAATTTTTGTCCTAAATACAAATCCAAAATGAACGTCTGAAGGTTCAGCTCAACTGTTCAGTTAGTAGCACAACAACAAACACTCAGACATGCTCAAAACCACTTAGTTGCCATTTTCACATCCAACAACCATCAGTGAATTGTGGGTTTTTTTCCTCCGAACAAATGCATTTCCATTTCATACCATTTCATGATATAAACCCCTTTCTGGCATTTCATCTTGGATTCTGTATTAACTACTTCTCAATTTGGGATAGAAGAACATTGTAAATGAAAAGCAATCTTCTGTGTTTTGCTGCACTGCAACTTTAGTTGCAATAACTCTCCACCACACCACACAAGAGGAATTAAGTTGAAATAGAGGCACTCTGATTTCTTGGAAGATCTCAGGCTGTGCTGAAAAAGGAAAAAAAAAGGAAAAAGGGAAAAAAAAAGGAAAAAGGTGAAAAAAAAAAGGAAAAGGGGGAAAAAAGGAAAAGGGAAAAAAAGGAAAAAGGTGAAAAAAAAGGAAAAAGGGAAAAAAAAAGGAAACGGGGAAAAAAAAGGAAACGGGGAAAAAAGGAAACGGGGAAAAAAGGAAACGGGGAAAAAGGAAAAAAAAAGAAAACAATGTAGGGAATGAACACCTTGGAAAATATTCACTGCTCTTGATTATTTTGGCAGTGGAACCTGTCCCAGTCTTTCTGCCACACCTCTCTATTACTCAACACATAGGCCACGAATATGTGTGAGCTATTTGTGTACACGCTGGTTGTTAATGTACACTATAAATAATTGGGGAGGTGGAGTTGAAAATCTTGAAAAGTTGAAAGGCCAGAAGAGGGGTCTGATTACAGCACGATGACATAACCATCTTTACATACCCTGCACAGAGTGGCAAAAGGGAGCATGGGAAGATGTGAGGGTATGGAGTTTGCTGGGACAGTGGTAGAGGACTGTGCAGATCATAGAGGTGTCCAGACTAAACCATTTCCAGTGTAGTTCCCAGGCTTCTTGCAGTGAAAATAGTTCTTTCACTTCAAACGAAAGCTCATGGGTGAACTACACATGCACTGGGAATATTAACAGACTGGGATCTGGAAGCACACCAGCAGGCACTGAAAGTACCAAAATACCCAGTATGGTTTGTTTCTATGAATATTAAAGTACCTGACATTAAGCAAAGTAAAAAAAAATCAGAAGCCAGGCAATGTTATTTAGAGAGCAAGTGTATTATCTATCATATTAGAGTCAGGCCGAGTGTAAAAGACACTAAACACCTGCAAGTCATTAACCTTAGCCCCCCACGCCAGGAACAGGACCTTTGCTTGCAGATAACAGAGCGCTACGAGAGCCACAGTAAAGACACACAGGGAAATCTGTGTGATCTGTTCTCTCTCAAAACAACTTCTTGTTTATCTGAGGAAAAAACAACCACCCCATTAGATTTCACCAGATCTTGGACTCTAAGTCTTCAGTAAAAAGCAACAATCACATCACACGCTCTTTGTTACAGCCTGAGTATTTATACTGACACAAGATAATCCTGCTACACAAATGTTACTGTGCCCACAGCAATGGCTCTCGGAGTCATGATTTTCTCTACAAGACTCAGAATTATACACTAGAGAAGAAAGCATGCAATAAATATGACCTTAGTACCATTCTTCCCACCGTCCTCCCTGGCATACAGCATGGTCTCCTACCTCTCAGAAGTCACTGGCACACCCAGAACACGAACGAGTGGCTAATTATTGAGGCTCAGCCCATACTGAACATAAACTTAAATACTGAAGACAGAACTAGTTAAAAGAATTACAGTGAATATACAAATGGGAATTGCCTTGTTTTCAATAGCAGCTCCCTTTTAACTGGCTCAGCTTTCTGCAGCCCTTCCTGCGTATCACTAAGGAGAGACTCGTATCTCCTCCACAGACCAAGAGTCTTCCTGCTCAGTGTTTTCACGTGGGTATATTTAGACACATGTGGCTGATGAAAAAGAGGTTCCTGCTCAGACATCTCTGCAAATCTGAACTTTCTAATGCAAAATCTGATCAAGGTACCTTGAAAGGCAACTCCCACAGATTACCTCCACCCAACCATCTTTAACAACAGCTGCATGAAACTGCAAATCTATTTTGGATCCATTACACCCTAATTGGTGGGGGACATGGGGGACACACAGCCACAGAGGTTCTATCCCAGGAAGCACATAAGCTTCAAGCTCTGGATATTCATGTTACTACTTCCTAAGAAGCAATGTGAGTGCAGACGGGCTCCTCTGAGCATGACCTAACCTTCTGAGCAAACAAAGCACTCCATCTAAAAAGCTCCAGCAAAACAAAGATATAAAATATCTGAGCAATCT